GGGCCCCCTACTGACCCCGGACCCTCGGGCAGTGCCTGAGTTTCCAAATGGTCAGTCCACCCCTGAGTAAATACCTCCTAAATGGCGCATGTCTAGAACATTTTTACTCTACCTACAGGTAAGCCTTATTTTAGGCTTACCTGTAAGCAGGCTGCTGTTAGAAACCACGGGGACCCATACAGCCAACCTGACAGCCCCCCCCCCCTCCAAAAAAACCCAACATGTTACTAGGCTTCAGTTATGAATGAACACAGTGAGTGGTCGGTACTGATCATTCATTGTGTTCATTCAGGAAAGGAAGGGGGTGGTAAATGTGACATATTTACCAGACCCTTCCCCACTCTCCATTCTGAAGGATCCTATTGTGTGCTTTCACCTGCTGGTCGGAAGGAGAGGAGGGAAGCCGGCAGCACTGCAGGGTTAGGGGCAAACAGGGGAGACTGGGCAGCAGGAGGAATGTATAGTGCACAAAGAGGGTTATGGGTGCAGTGGGGGGGGGGGGGGGGGGGGGAATTGGAACAGATCCCCTGTATGGCTCTCTCTGCAATCGCTGAAAACCAGTGGGAGGGAGAGAAGAAGAAGCCAGATTTCACCTGTGAAAGAGACAGCCATACAGGAGATCGGTTCCAGTAATTGCCCCCCCCAATCCACCATGCCGATCACCCTCTGTGCCCACATCCAATTCACCCAGCTGCCTGGGTCCCCCTGCTGGCCTGGGCCCCATGCAGGAGGACTGGTGGTACCCCCTTATCCACGGCCCTGCCTGTAGGTACAAGTAAGCAGGTAGGCTTTGCTACTACTTTAAAAGATATTGCAAACATATATGCCAAAGCAGTACAAAAAGCTTCAAAATAAAAAGTAGACACCCCAAGGTGGTTTATATTTTTGGCACATTTTTTTTTTGAAATGTAGAAACATGCTGGCATTTGGGGGGTTAAAGCATGGAGCTTTGCAATGGTGGACTAGATACATTAAAACGGAACTTCACTCTCTCATTCAGCATTGACTATTTTTAATCTTATGCTGCTAACCTTAGTAAATAGATAGGAAAGTATGTTACATTTACTTGTTGTGTACTTTTTTGAATTTTTTATTTCTTCAGTTACGTCCTGGTTTCCATGCCTAAGCAAATGATGTCATGCATCCCAGGAGTCCTCAGAAGGGGAGGAAGGGCTTTCGCTCAGCTATGAAAATCAGGGGGCGGAGAGCTGAGTTACACACTGCAGAGTTCAGTGACTAGATTTCTGAGAGCTGATTGGAGAGAACACCCCCCCCCCCTCCACACAGCACACAGGAAAAGAGCTGAGGCTCTCAGTCTGCCGGAGGTCCCTCCCCTGTCACCATTTTTCTCTTGTAATGAATGTAAACGGATGAAAATGGACATAAACAGACAGAATGGATGTAAACGGGCAAAAACAGATATAAATGGACAAAAAAAACGAGTGTAAACTGATGAAAACTGATGTAAACTGATCCGTTTTTTCTTGGAAAAAAGTGACTGAACGAATGTAAAAAAATAGAATGCCCATGTGAAAGGGGCCTAAAGGCAGGGCCATGGATAAGGGGGTACCACCAGTCCTCATGTACGGGGCCCAGGCCAGCAGGGGGGCACAGGCAGCTGGGTGAATTTGATGTGGGCAGGGAGGGTGGCCAGCATGGCAGAGAGGGGCAATTACTGGAACTGGTCCCCTGTATGGCTCTCTCTTCAGCAGCTGAAATCCGGCTTCTTCTCTTCTCCCTCCTGCTGGCTTTCAGCTGCTGCGGAGAGAACCATACAGGAAATCCATTCCAGTAATTTCCCCCCCCATCGCACTCATCACCCTCCCTGAGAACCATATGTTCCCCCTGCTTCCCAGGCCCCCCCCTGTGCCCCCACCCCCGCAATGCTGCCGGCTACCTTCCTCCCTTCCTTCCCACCGGCAGCTGCAATCACACAGTAGAATCCTTCAAGATGGAGAGTGGGGGAAAGGTTCAGTAAATATGTCACATTTACCAGCCCTTCCTTTCCAGAATGAACACAATGAGTGATCAGCACCAATCACTTATTGTGTTCATTCATAACCGAAGCATAGTAAACAGGGCTTTTTTTTTGGGGGGGGGAGCCCTGTCAGCTCGGCTGTATGGGGCCCCGTGGTTTCTAACAGCAGCCCTGCCTAAAATATATGGCTTTGCCTCCAAGAAGCTGTTGCCAAAGTGCCAACCAAGGCCTGGCTCTACCGGAGTTACAGGTTCCATCCAGACCACGAGATGGATCCCTTGTCCTAAGCACCAGGCCCTGTATGCACACAAAGTGTTTGAAAACAAATGCTCAAAAAAAAAAGCCCACACACAAGCCAGTCGATATGTAAAAGCAGCCAGATACAGAAACGTACTGGAACAGATTGTAGGAGCTGTAAATTATTAAAACCCAGATCCATCACGTTAAGAGGAGCGATGCCGGGAGATGAGCGGCGAGTGCCGGGGGGGGAGCGGGATTGAAGCATTAAATAACCTGTCTTTGTCTTCCTTCCTAACAAAAGGTGCCCTTGTTCCTCTTAATTTTCCTTGATTTTCAGCAGAGAGGAGAGACACCGGCTTTTCTGAAGTTTAAAATCTGAATTGCAAAAGAAGCGATCTTGTGACAGACTCTGCAACAGACAGAACAATAGTCAGGGATCCGGCTGCTTTTTTTATATAAAAAAAAAGAAGCACAATTTCTTAAAAGCTTTATTACACTAATAGCTGTTACATGTAATTGTCTCAACGTCGATTCTAATAAAGGGAAACTGAACCGTGAGCGAGCTAGAAAGGAAAAAAAAATGTCATTCTGTTTATCTCTCCTATTCTTTTCTGACTCACAAGAGCGCAGAGGAAACAAGTGGAGGGATTCGAGCTGTCTGATTAGAGGGCTGGGGGGGGAGCAGGAATGGAAATTAGAGGGGGATGTTTCGCAAAACCAGGAAAAATATGTATCATTATGGGTCTCTATACAGAAAATTCTATATATTTGAAAAGAAAAATGGGCAAAAGAACCGCTTTCACTGAAAAGGATAGATAGCTAACCTATCTGCTCGCTTGGACACCAGTACCAAGTGGTCTATGATGGCTGTCGAGTGCATGTGGTGAATGTGTGCTAAAAGGAAACAATTGCTGAGTAAATACATAGTTTACATAGTTAGTCTGGCTGAAAAAAGACAAAAGTCCATCCAGTTCAACCATTAAAAAAAAAAGTTATATTCCTATACCCACAGTTGATCCAGAGGAAGGCAAAAAAAACCCAGCAAATCATGATCCAATATAAATGTTATATCCAATTATATTCTGTCTAAGAAAGGACTTTAGTGCACAGATCTTCTAAAGCAGGGGTCTCCAAACGTTTTAAACTGTCCTTCAGGATTGAGGTGGGGGCAGACTGTGGCCAGTGTGAGTAGAAAATGTCTCAGCATCAGTTAACAATGCCCCATCATTGGGTTTAACAGGAGGAATAGTGCCCCATGGTTGGTATCAATGGGAGGAATAGTGCCCCATAGTTGGTGTCAGTGTGAGGAATAGTGCCCCATGGTTCGTGTCAGTGGGGAATAGGCCCCACGGTTGGTATCAATGGGAGGAATAGTGCCCCACGGTTGGTATCAATGGGAGGAATAGTGCCCCACGTTTGGTATCAATGGGAGGAATAGTGCCCCACGGTTTGGTATCAATGGGAGGAATAGTGCCCCATGGTTGGTATCAATGGGAGAATAGTGCCTCATGGTTGGTATCAATGGGGAGAATAGTGCCTCATGGTTGGTATCAATGGGAGAAATAGTGCCCCATGGTTGGTATCAATGGGAGGAACAGTGCCCCATAGTTGGTGTTAGTGGGAAGAACAGTGCCCCATGGTTGGTATCAGAAGGAGGAATAATGCGCCATGGTTGGTATCAATGGGAGGAATAGTGCCACATGGTTGGTGTCAGTGGGAGGAATAGTGCCCCATGGTTGGTATCATTGGGAGTTATAGCGCCCATGGTTGGTATCAATGGGAGGAATAGTGCCCCATAGTTTGTGTCAGTGGGAGGAATAGTGCCCCATGGTTGGTATCAATGGGAGGAATAGTGGCACATGGTTGGTATCAATGAGATGAATTGCCTCATTGTCAATGTCAGTGGGAGGAGTAGTGTCCCATCATTGGTCTTAGCAGGAGGAATAGTGCCCCATTGATGGCGTCAGTGGGAGAAATAGTGCCCCATTAATGGTGTCAGTGGGTGGAATGGTGCCTCATCATTGGTGTCAGTTGGAGGAATAGTGTCCCAGGGGCTGGATAGAGTCAAGCAAAGGGCTGCATCTGGCTCCTGGGCTGTTCTAAAGTATCTATAAGGGCTTGTTTACACAGCTGCCGGTTTTTACCACCCCCACCCCCGATCCCCCCTAAAGTGTTACTAAATCCACAACAGTAAAATCAGTCTGTATATGCAGTAAAATATGCTTCTTATATTCACTGTGGAACCTAAGGGGTTAATACACTGCATTGTGTAAAAAGGACGTGATCCTGTCTTCTCTGCTCCTCCTCTTGTTCAAATGTCCACGTCTTATCTCCTGATAAGACAGCCTGACCGCGCAGTCATTTTGCACGTGCTCTGTTTAGTGTGTATTGCTAGAGAGGTTTTTTTTTTTCTTATGAGAGTGTATGTGATCAGCACAGCGTCAATCAGCACTGTCCAGACAGAGTTCAAGGGTTCTGCATCCTCCTAGAGCAGAAAGAAAATTCCTCTTACAAGCTTTAACCAGTGCTCTGCTGGACACTGAAGTCACAGGACTGCTATATACTGCTGATAAGAAAAGGTATTTAGCAGTTTATATTTTACTAAAATAATTGCATTTCAATGTTCTGTGTACTTTGTGAGACCAGATATAGTGAATGCAGGGTCCGGGGAGACCAGATATAGTGAATGCAGGGTCCGGGGAGACCAGATATAGTGAATGCAGGGTCCGGGGAGACCAGATATAGTGAATGCAGGGTCCGGGGAGACCAGATTTAGTGAATGCAGGGTCCAGGGAGATCAGAAATAGTGAATGCAGGGTCCGGGGAGACCGGATATAGTGAATGCAGGGTCCGGGGAGACCAGATTTAGTGAATGCAGGGTCCAGGGAGACCATATATAGTGAATGCAGGGTCCAGGGAGACCGGATATAGAGAATTCAGGGTCCAGGGAGAGACCAGATATAGTGAATGGAGGGTCCAGGGAGACCGGATATAGAGAATTCAGGGTCCAGGGAGACCAGATATAGTGAATGCAGGGTCCGGGGAGACCAGATATAGTGAATGCAGGGTCCAGGGAGACTGGATATAGAGAATTCAGGGTCCGGGGAGACCAGATATAGTGAATGCAGGGTCCAGGGAGACCGGATATAGAGAATTCAGGGTCCGGGGAGACCAGATATAGAGAATTCAGGGTCCTGGAAGACCAGATATAATAAATGTAAGGTCTGAGGAGAGCGGATATAGTGAATGCAGGGTCCGGGGAGACCAGATATAATGAATGCAGGGTCCTGGAAGACCAGATATAATGAATGTAAGGTCCGAGGAGAGTGGATATAGTGAATGCAGAGTCCGTGGAGACCACATATAGTGAATGCAGGGTCTGGGGAGACCACATATAGTGAATACAGGGTCCGGGGAGACCAGATATAGTGAATGTAGAGTCTGGGAGAGCGGATACAGTGAATGCAGGGTCCGTGGAGACCAGATATAGTGAATGCAGGATCCGGGGAGACCAGATATAGTGAATGCAGGGTCCGGGGAGACCAGATATAGTGAATGCAGGGTCCGGGTTGACCAGATATAGTGAATGCAGGGTCCGGGGAGACCAGATTTAGTGAATGCAGGGTCCGGGGAGACCAGATTTAGTGAATGCAGGGTCCGGGGAGACCAGATTTAGTGAATGGAGGGTCCGGGGAGACCAGATATAGTGAATGCAGGGTCCGGGGAGACCAGATATAGTGAATGCGGGTCCGGGGAGACCAGATATAGTGAATGCAGGGTCCAGGGAGACCGGATATAGTGAATGCGGGGTCCGGGGAGACCGGATATAGTGAATGCAGGGTCCAGGGAGACCAGATATAGTGAATGCAGGGTCCAAGGAGACCAGATATAGTGAATGCAGAGTCCTGGGTTTAGTAACACTTTAACCATTAGCCGCCCGGCCAATAGCCGTTTGGCGGCTGGCAAAATGATGTAGATTTCCGGGTGGACGCCATATGGCGTCCTCGCGGGCATGCGCAGTTTTCGCGCTTGGAGAGCCGTGCAGCAGCGTGATCTGTCACCGGCCATGTACCTCGGACATGGCCGATAACAGATCTGAGTACCGGCCCCCGTTGCCGGTACCATGTGACCTGCTGTGACCAATCACAGCAGGTCACATGACAGTTGTATGCAATGGATAGCTTCATTCATGCCATCCATTGTATACTAGTGTCTAGCTGTGAATGGTCACAGCTAATCACATGCACATGTCATGTGATTAGTTGTGGCCAAATCACAGCTAAGCACAAAAAAAAAAAAACAACCCTGAATGAATCGATGTCATTCAGGTAAATGCTTGCTTATAGCAAAGTAATTCTTTGCTATAAGCAAATTGTGTAAAAAAAAAAATACTGATCACTTCCCCAAAGTAGTACAATGTTACTATGGTAACATTGTACTACTTTGGACATAGTAGTATTGAAATATGAAAAAAAAATCTTAAAAAAAAAGAAAAAAAATGTAATAAAAAATTAAAAATTAAAAAAATTAAAAGAAAATATATATATATATATTTTTTTTTTTCATACTGTCACCAGTCAGTGTCCCTGATCACCGCCATGCCAGTTATATGATGACGCTGTACTGCACTGGTGACAATATGTAAAAAAAAAATAGTGAAAACAATTTTTTTAATTTTTTCATTTGCTGAAAAATTATGACAAAAAACATACAACTTCAAAAAACTCGCCATGCCTCTTAAGAAGTACATCGGACTGTCTACTCTGCAAAAAGGGGTCATTTGGGGGATATCTGTACTGTCCTGACATTTGGGGGATATCTGTACTGTCCTGACATTTGGGGGATATCTGTACTGTCCTGACATTTGGGGGATATCTGTCCTGTTCTGACATTTGGGGGATATCTGTACTGTCCTGACATTTGGGGGATATCTGTACTGTCCTGACATTTGGGGATATCTGTACTGTCCTGACATTTGGGGATATCTGTACTGTTCTGACATTCTTGGACCTCAAGAAATTAGATTGGCTGTCAGTACTTCAGGATTGATCAATTTTCAGATCTATCCCATAGTTTGTGAACCTCTATAACTTTCCTACAAACTAAATAATAAATCCTAATTTGGGTTATTTTCACCAAAGACATGTAGCAGAATACATCTCGGCCTAAATTTATAAAGAACATGCATGGGAAAATAATAATGTTGCCTGAAATTCCACGTGATGACTGGGCTATAGCCAAATGATGGCTACAGCGCAGCTGTTTGTTCTGGGAGGGCGTCATATGATGCACCCCTGGGGCACGCACCTGGTGAGCTCTGTGATCGGTGTGTCCATCGGTGATCACATGACATAGACACAGCTGATCGCATGTCATAGTAAAGGGCCAATCACAGCACCCATTTACCATGTGATCAGCTATGTCCAATGACACAGCTGATCATAATGTAAACACAGTTGCTGGTTATCGGCTGCACTTTCCTCATGCTGTCACAGCACGAGGAAAGAGGAGAACCGGTAATCGGCAAGTATATTTAAAAAATCAGAGGCAGTCCAGTGCAGCCCCAACAGTGTCCATCATTATAGTTCAGGCAGTGTCCATCAGTCCTGCCAGTGTCCATTAGCGCCACCAGTCAGTGATCCATTAGTGCTGACAGAGTCCAACAGCACACCAGTCAGTGTCCATCAGTGCTGCCAGTGTCCATCAGTACTGCCAATGTCCAACAGTGCCACCAGTCAGTGATCATCATTGCTGCCAGTGTCCAACAGCACCACCAGTCAGTGATCATCATTGCTGCCAGTGTCCAACAGCACCACCAGTCAGTGATCATCATTGCTGCCAGTGTCCATCAGTACTGCCAGTCAGTGTCCATCAGTGCTGTCAATGTCCAACAGTGCCACCAGTCAGTGTCCATCAGTGCTGCCAGTGTCCATTAGCGCCACCAGTCAGTGATCATTAGTGCTGACAGTGTCCAACAGCACCACCAGTCAGTGTCCATCAGTGCTGCCAGTGTCCATCAGTACTGCCAATGTCCAACAGTGCCACCAGTCAGTGATCATCAGTGCTGACAGTGTCCATCAGTGCTGCCAATGTTCAACAGTGCCACCAGTCAGTGATCATTAGTGCTGACAGTGTCCAACAGCGCCACCAGTCAGTGATCATCAGTGCTGCTAGTGTCCAACAGCACCACCAGTCAGTGATCATCAGTGCTGACAGTGTCCAACAGCACCACCAGTCAGTGATCATCAGTGCAGCCAGTGTCCATCAGTACTGCCAGTCAGTGTCCATCAGTGCTGCCAATGTCCAACAGTGCAACTAGTCAGTGTCCATCAGTGCTACCAGTGTCCAACAGTGCCACCAGTCAGTGATCATCAGTGCTGCTAGTGTCCATCAGTACGGTCAGTCAGTGTCCATCAGTGCTGCCAGTGTCCAACAGTGCCACCAGTCAGTGATCATCATTGCTGCCAGTGTCCATCAGTACTGCCAGTCAATGTCCATCAGTGCTGCCAGTGTCCAACAGCACCACCAGTCAGTGGTCATCAGTGATGCCAGTGTCCATCAGTACTGCCAGTCAGTGTCCATCAGTGCTGCCAATGTCCAACAGCACAACTAGTCAGTGTCAATCAGTGCTGCCAATGTCCAACAGTGCCACCAGTCAGTGATCATCATTGCTGCCAGTGTCCAACAGCACCACCAGTCAGTGATCATCATTGCTGCCAGTGTCCAACAGCACCACCAGTCAGTGATCATCAGTGCTGCCAGTGTCCATCAGTACTGCCAGTCAGTGTCCATCAGTGCTGTCAATGTCCAACAGTGCCACCAGTCAGTGTCCATCAGTGCTGCCAGTGTCCAACAGCGCCATCAGTCAGTGATCATCATTGCTGACAGTGTCCAACAGCGCCACCAGTCAGTGATCATCAGTGCTGCCAGTGTCCATCAGTACTGCCAGTAAGTGTCCATCAGTGCTGCCAATGTCCAGCAGTGCCACCAGTCAGTGATCATCATTGCTGCCAGTGTCCAACAGCACCACCAGTCAGTGATCATCAGTGCTGCCAGTGTCCATCAGTACTGCCAGTCAGTGTCCATCAGGGCTGCCAGTGTCCAAACGCGCCACCAGTCAGTGGTCATCAGTGCTGCCAGTGTCCATCAGTACTGCCAGTCAGTGTCCATCAGTGCTGCCAATGTCCAACAGTGCAACTAGTCAGTGTCCATCAGTGCTGCTAGTGTCCAACAGCGCCACCAGTCAGTGATCATCATTGCTGCCAGTGTCCATCAGTACTGCCATCAGTGTCCATCAGTGCTGCCAATGTCCAACAGTGCCACCAGTCAGTGATCATCATTGCTGCCAGTGTCCAACAGCACCACCAGTCAGTGATCATCAGTGCTGCCAGTGTCCATCAGTACTGCCAGTCAGTGTCCATCAGTGCTGCCAGTTTCCAACAACGCCACCAGTCAGTGATCATCAGTGCTGCTAGTCAGTGTCCATCAGTGCCTCAACACACATTAGTAAAAGAGAAAAATTACCTGTTTGCAAATTTTTTTTAACAAAAACTAAGAAAAAACTTTTTTTTAACTGTTTAGTCTTTTTTTGCTTGTTTAGCAAAAAAAATGTCATTGGTCATTGCACTTTGAACATAGTCATTGCCCTATCCAATGCCTGATTAAATAAGGCCCAACATTCAGAATCTGTTTTTACAACATGCATGTTAGCGCACTTAATCCCCGAAGATGTAAAGGAATTCGCTGGATGTAATTTATTGACACTTTGTTCTACTAATAAAATCACAAATGGGCCCCTGTTGTGCTGTTAAAACATGTTCGATTGATACTGTGTACTTCTGGTAATGTGCCGACTCTCCCAAGGTCAGTTACAGAACACATCGGCCTTGTACTTCAATGTCAAATTCAGACGTCGAATTGCAATTTGAGAAGAACAGAATCTTTCCAAAGACAACAATAATTATAAATAATAGATCCAACTATTCAATATAGAGGATGTATTTTGTGATGTTGCGCGATGTTACGCCACAATTATGTATGTAGTATTTATACTCTGAATGGGATTGCACATTGCAAGCTTTCCTAAGAATGCCACTTCATAGCACAGGGCTCGGTATTCCTGCACATGTCAAGGTTCTGCTATTGATGAAGGAACACCGCGCTATGAAATGGTATTCTTGGGAAACCGTGGAATGTGCCACCCCATTGGTCAGAGTCAGGGGCGGACTGACCATTTGGAAACTCGGGCACTGCCCAAGGGCCTGGGGTCAGTAGGGGGCCCCATGAGATACCCCTGGTACCTTTTTCATAGGCTTTTTTGAGTTTGGGCAAGGACACAGGGGCCCCATGATCCCCTATTGCCCGGGGGCCCCATGAGTTGTCAGTCCACCCCATTGGTCAGAGTATAAATCCTACAATTATCATCAGATAATTGGATATATCCTCTTCCCCAACTACATCACCAACCTGGTCTCAAAACATCAACCAAACCGCTCTCTTCGATCCTCCGAAGACCTTCTGCTCTCTAGTTCCCGTGTCACTTCCTCACATGCTCGCCTCCAGGACTTCTCCCAAGCCTCTCCCATCCTATGGAACTCCCTACCCCAATCTGTCCGACTATCTCCTAATCTATCCGACGATCCTGAAAACCTTTCTCTTTAACCACTTGCCCTCCTGAGGATTTACCCCCCCCCCCCTTCCTGACCAGGCCATTGTTTTGCATTATGGCGCTGTGTTATTTTAAATGACAATTGCGCGGTCATGCAGCGCTGCACCCAAATTAAATTTATGTCCTTTTTTTCTCACAAATAGAGCATTCTTTCAGTGCA